TATTTGGTCATTCTCATGAACAGAAGAGTCCTTAGTGAAATACAGTGTTTGAATTTTGTGCAGAACAATTGAGATTACCTTATTAGGTACACCATATTGGCAAAAATATTGGGACAACCCTCCAAATCATTGATTTTAGGTATTCCAATCACTTCCATAAAGACAAGTGTATAAAATCAAGCACCTCAGCTTGCAGACTGCTTCAACAAACATCTGCGAAAGAATGGGTCGCTCTCAAGAGATCAGTGTATCCAAACATGGTACCGTGATAGGATGCCACCTGCGCAATAAGTCCATTCATGAAATTTCCTCGCTACTAAATATTCCACGGTCAATTGTTAGTGGTATTATAACAAAGTGGAAGCAATTGAGAACAGCAACTTAGCCATGAAGTGGTAGGCCACTTAAAATCACAGAGCGCGGACAACGCTTGTTGAGGTGCAGTGTGCAGAAGTCGCCAACTGTCTGCAGTCAATAGCTACAGACCTCCAAATTTTGTGTGGCCTTCAGCGCAAGAACAGTGCATAGAGAACTTCATGGAATGGGTTTCTATGGCCGAGCAGCTGCATCCAAGCCTTATATCACCAAATGCAATGCAAAGCGTCACATGCAGTGGTGTAAAGCACGCCGCCACTGGACCCTAGTGCAGTGGAGACGTGTTCTCTGGAGTGATGAATCATGCTTCTCTGTCTGGAAATCTGAAGGACAAGTTGGGTTTGGCGGCTGCCAGGAGAACGGTACTTGCTTGACTGCATTGTGCCAAATATAAAGCTTGGTGGAGGGAGGATTATGGTGTTGGGTTGTTTTTCAGGGGTTGGGCTTGGCCCCTTAGTTCTTCATTCCAGAACCATTGTACTTTGTTAGTATTACAGTAGTTTGAATCATGTTGGTTTGGACAAACCACAATGGTCTCAGATTTTCTTTTTCATATGCAACAAAAGCTCTCAGTTATTAAGAATTACTTCATTTTTAGCCATTAATTTGTCCATACTGCTTTCTGCATGTTTTTTTTTCCATTTAATACTGTGTGTATACAAGCCCTGGACAATAACTTCTTTCAGCGTTGTCATCACAATCATATCGCATTTTTTGGCACTGCTTTGTGTCTGTTGACACAACTCACAACAACACAACCAACTCTCTATTGTTAGATAAGTTCGATTTGGCAGTACTTTATTTTGGGTAGATTAATCTCATTTTTGGTTTTATAATGATCACAATATTACTCGATGTGATATTGCAATGTGATTATCATGCAGCCCTAAATATATTGTAGCGTCTGGCAGACCAAGACATCACAGCAGCGAGAAAAAATTAAAGGAACACATAATCACAGTGTATCACCATGTCGGTTATACTTCTGGGGTATTGATCTGTCCAGTTAAGAAGCGTAAGCGATTGTGAATCAGTTTCAGCTGCTTTGGTGCAAATGAAAGCAGTAACAGGTGTACAGGAGGGACAACAGCAAGACATCCCCCAAAAAAGGAATGGTTTTGTAGGTCATGACCACAGACCATTTCTCTTTCCTTATCCTTCCTGGCAGATTTTTCTATATCTTTGCATTTTGCTAGTGCCAGTTTCACTACTGGTAGCATGAGATGGTACCTGCAGCTGATTAAGGTTGCACAGGTAGTCCAGATCCTCCAGGATGGCACATCCATATGTGCCATCGCAAGAAGGTATTCTGTGTCTCCCAGCACAGTCTCAAGAGTGTGGAGGAGATACCAGGAGACAGGCCTTTACATGAGGAGAGCTGGACAGGGTCATAGAAGGGCAAGAAGCCAGCAGCAGGCTGGGTTCAACTGGCATTTGCTTCTTTGTGTGAGGAGGAATAGGAGGAGCTCTGCCAGAGCCCTACAAAATGACCTCTACCACTCGTGTGCATATTTCGAACCGTTCTGTTACAAACAAACTCCATGAGAGTGGCATGAGGGCCCGCTGTCCTCATGTGGGACCTGTTCTCACAGCCCTGTACCGTGCAGCTTGATTGGCATTCGCCAGAGAATACCTGCACTGGCAGGTTCACCATTAGTGCCTATTTCTCTTCACAGATGAGAGCAGGTTAACACTGAGCATGTGACAGATGTGGAAAAAGTCTGGAGATGCAGTGGTGAACGTTAAACTGCCTGCAATATCATGATTGGTTTGGTGGTGGGTCGCTGATGGTCTGGGGAGGGTCACACAGACTCAGAGCCACCATCAAACCTTACACTGGGGCCGTGGGCTCTGGGTTCCTTCATGAGGGCCGCCCCCCCATATCATTGTAAATGGCCTGGTTAGGTTAATACCATTACTGAGTGCACCTGTAGGTAGGGGGGTTATAAAGGGGGGATTCCCTTCTCTCTCGAGGCACCTTTTGACCTTCCTCCTTGCACAGGCACATTTCTTTTTCTCTCTTCCCTTATTTCTTGATCTTTTTGTCTCTCTCTCTCTCTCTCCCTCTCTACATCTAACATACTGACTCTTCCATTGCATCCACAGCATGCCACTACATACATTTACATTCCCTGAGACATTATTGATTATTTTTGGTCTAATTTCAGTAAACTGCAGTTTTGCTTTAAAACTTTAGTTGTCATGTCCCTTTTTATGTTATGGTGTGGAACAAGTCCGCAGTAACAATGTACTGAAAGCAACTGCAAATTATAAGTGCAAAACAAAGTTTTTTTGAAAGATTTTACCACCCCCCCCCCCTTCCTGAAAGTGGTTTCCCCACTGATTTTTGATGCTATCCCCGATCCCGCTACCACACACATAGGTAAGAGTGTCTATGTCTCAGTGGAGCCTGACCATGAGTAGGTAGCTATGTGTCAAACATGTTTCTTTACTTCTACCACTCAGTAGAATAACAGACATTTACATTTGTAATCATGCTGCGTCTTGGTCGGTCTGTTACCACATGGGTGAATCTTTTGCTGTATTAGCTAATTAATGGGTGTTGCTTCTCTCCTACTGTAAACAACCTGCATGTTGTGTGTGTTTTGGGAGCCAACCAAAATAGAAAAAAACACCATTAAGTAAAAAAATGTCCGCAGTAATATCAAAGGCAATTTGATAAGATTTTCCTAAGAAAAGAATGAATATGATAAATTTATAATGTATTTAAAACACTTGACTGTGCCTTCTTAAGTTATTTACCAATCACTTGTAGTATGTAATTGTAATAAAGGTTTCCTCTATATACATTTAACTGCACTACTTTTACTGGCATCTTTTGTGGCTCTTGAAATTTTTTTCTGTTTATTGGCTTATTGTGTCCCCCAACAGTGAAATGATATTTTCACTAGAGATGGGCGATCCACGTTTTTTCAGTTCCGATCCGATTTCGATACACAACTGCCGATACCGATACAGATTCCGATACAAGAGCTCTTTTTACTTTGTTAAACTTTACATATTATTTTTTTTAAGCTAGTAAATACAGATGGAAAAAATGTATGACAAAAAATATTTAATTAGGCTACTACAAACATACATAACATA